TTTCATCTTTTCAACCACTGACTATGGGTAATACAGAAAATATTTATGTGTTCAATTTTCCTGCAGAACTGCTTAACCAGGATCTGAACAGAGAGTGCTGTGGGAAAATACCCAAGAAATTATTTGAGATAGATTGAGCTGTTCTTGTCTGAATCTAAGAACACTTAAATTCTTTATGATTCAAAGCTGTACTTTTCTCTTTAAAAATGCCATGGAGAAGAACAGTTTCCAGTGTGAACTTTTTTCGTCAGTTGACCTTTAAAACTTAAGCATATACTTGGCACTCTAACAATACAAAACACTATCACAAATATTCAAATTAAATATAAATACAGACATTTTACTGCAGCTGAAAAACTTACAATGTATTCTGAGACAAAGTGTCATACTCAACACCAGAAAACAGAAAAAACTTACATTTTGATACAAAAATTAGTTACATTTTAATGATGTCTAAGCAATCTGTTAAAGAAACTTACCAATCAGGACACTCTTTGTCCAATTATTAAAGTTTCGGAGGTAGAATATGCGAGACTGGCTACGTTTATCCAAACCAACTTCTTGAAGTTCATTATAATGTGCAGCCACAGCTTGCCCATGGCCAATCACGTGCTGCAGAAAGGAAATCACACCACAGAAGGAATACATTCCAGCAGTGAATTATTTTTATTACTTAGTAATTTAATCAAAAGACATACGTGTTCACTCCAAGGATTTAAGAAAGCAAACAAGCAATACTATGAAGAGCACCATCATTATAAAGAGATTTCCCGTATCTGTCCTGGTACTGATGTCAGTACTTCAATCATCACAGCAACACTCACAAACTTAATCCCCTTTTCAGCTCATTCAAGCAACTTCTGGACGACAGATATTGCCCAGCATCTTTCCTTCACAGAAATACTTAACCTTCAGTTCTCTACTACTCTCAACTACGCTCAAAGAACACGTTTCATTCTTCTTAAGTCTGGGACAGAAGAAGAGGATGTTCCTTCTCAAGGAACTTTGAGCCTCTTCAAAGAGCCTGTTTCAGAAATTTAGTGATTTCATCTGACAGAAGTGTATAAACTGCCAATTTAACCAAAATGCCAATTGGCTGATGTCACATTAAGGTCCAAATAGATGACCCCACTGCCAGAGATTTAAACAGACCATGATAAAGGAATGAGAGGAATAATTTGACAACATATTCCACAAAATGCTTAACAGTTAGCTGTAGAAATGTCTCTGATTTAGCCTTAACTCAAAATATTCCAAGAGATTTCTGTCCAGCCCTAGCTTTAAGTACTACAAGACACTTCTCTCGCCTGTTATGCTGACAAGCAGTCTACATACAGATATTATGCTCCTAACACTTCTTCACCTTGAAAATAATCTTCAACTATATACATGAAATGAAAATAAATTATAAATAAAATCCAAAGCAACAGAACAGATACAACTAGCATCGACTCTGTGAGGTACAAAAGCATTTGAAACAGCAGTACAAACCAGAATGAAGCCACTATAAGCATTCTTACCAGTTCACTACAGAAGTCAATAGCCCTGCATCTTACTATTCAAATAGCAGTTTCTCAAGGGAAAAGAAGGTTTGGCTGATATATGTGAATCGTTCAGTGTTTCATATACTTTTGGTAACATTCCGAATGAACACAGCCTTACTTGTCTAAAATTTCTATAACCTCATCATCTGTTTATTACCACACTGGGCTGACCAATACAAGTATTTTGACGACTTCTGTGCTTTTTCAGGGTAAGCACAGATGGCTCCCTGAATGGTCACTGAAGGTGACAGAAGCTAGAACAGCTGACACAGACAACTGTGGGGGACATACTCATACAAACCATTAACACATCTCAGCTGCAAACAGCCATCAGCAACAACATCTATGGTGGCAACTATGTTCAGTCACCTCTCTCCACCCTTAGGCTACACAAACCCAAGGTAGTTTTTGCTCATCTAAGCCTTATCCCCCCTTATTAAAAGGATGAAAGGGTTAATAATATTTCTACCACAACAAAGGACACTCTTTATTTTGCCAGACTGCTAAGCCATATATTAACATACTGGGAAAATTCCGAGCAGATAAACAAAACATTAGGTCAGACATTTTCAAATTATATTTAAATATCCCAAAAGGATGACCCAGACTGGATATTAAAGCATCAGCTTCTACAAGCTCATACATAATAAAGGACAGCATCATGTAAAACATTGCCCTTTTCACCTTCCCAGGTGGGCATATAAAAGGACATACATTTTCTGCTGCTTTTGTAGTCTTAAAACACAAAGAAGCACCTGTAAGTCTTTCTCTGCTTCACTTTGCCAACAAATCATACTGAAATTATATCACAGAGGATGCAGTCTGTTGAGTTTTGCAAACTATACACTACCTTATCAAGGAAATAAAAGGACAAAATTACCTTATGGAAGAACTTCCCAAGCACAGGTAACTACACTAACACACAGATAAACAACATATATAAGAACTGAGTTCAAGATATGGAACTTGGACTAATGCCAGGAAACCCTACACTACACTAACAGATTGCTACCACATGGAGGATGGAACAGTCTTAGAATTAGACTAAGTATGTGCTGAGATTATCATTACAATTGCCAGCCCTCTTTCTCCTCTGTGAAGCCCAACATCACTTTGTGCACCTGTTATTTCCCCAAGAAATATTTCCATAGCTGGTATTTTGTGCTGGCTCACACACATCTAGCATAAATATTTTCAATCTTTTCTTGAGCTAAGGCTTTGAAACAAGGATTTGAAAACAGTTCAAAATAAATGATACTCACTGCTTTCTTAGGAGGTTCATCTTCAGAATCCAAATTCTTCCTCTTTGCTCTGCCATCCTGATTACAACTATCAACTTCTTTGTCATTTTCAGTGGACTGCTCTGTACCTGAAGCAGAACTATTGCCTTCACACCCGACACCTGAAGCTGACTCTAAAGCATGAGGTGTTTTCTCCACTTCTTCCAAACTCTTTTCCACCTGCTGTTTTTCTGTCTTGGTTACTTCAGCCATTTCAACTGGTCCACTGATCAGAATGGAAATCTAGAGGGAAAAGAAACAAACCACCAAGAATTTTCAGCGCTGAAAATTTCACTTACTTGTGGTTACGATCGTAACTTCATAACTTTCAAACATAATGTTGGTACGTCACCCCAGGCAACATATAGACTTCAAATTTGATCAGTTGTTTAATAAAGACGCTCAATAAAACATGTCAAACTTAAAAGTACTCATTAAATAAGTTCAAACTAAGATAAATTGTTACTTTTCACTTTAGAGTCATTCTGACATATCTTTATTGACGCAACTGCCAAATGTTATTGTTTTTTGCCTTTCCCTTCCCATAGAAGGTAACCTACAAATCAGTTTATGTTTAGAAACACAGACAGGTTCTCTCAAATTAATAAATTTGTTATTTAAACTGATATGCTTTGAAATGAAGGTTTTCAAATAAAAGATCAAGATGGGTTTTTATGAGCAAATCTTTTTATCAATTGTGGATTTTCCAGTTTGCCAAGAATATCCACTATGCTCTGAGCTTAACTTATCCATGGAATATTCAAGTTGCACCTGTATTTCCACATCTCCACCTCACAAATTTCTACAGAGGTTGCAGGACTGCAAACAACTGCTACAAAGTTCATTTAGTCTCCAGCACATCCCAGCCTTCTTTACACCAGCACTGGGAAGCAGAGCACCTACTTTTTAACAAGGCATGGGAGAGGGCGATTCAGCACCTCCTTTTGTGAAACAGTAGCCTAAATCCGCAAAAAAAATTAAAATTCAAAAATCACATTTAAATCCACCGTATCCAGGCTCACCTCCTAATGAGGGCCAGAACACAATCACTTGAGTGGGCCACAACACAGAGGCACCAGAGCAGCTTTCCTCAAAACAAATGGCCTCAAAGTACGACTTACAACAATAATTCTTCCACTACTGCACAGCACCACAGCACTTGGCTTGCAAAGCACCAGCAGAGCCTTCATTATCCTCACCCAGCTATTCCAAGATGTTTTGAAGGCCTAAATTGTGAAACGATCCGACTTTCACAACTATCGATGGCAACCACAGGAAGCAGCAGCTCCTTCAGCCGGAGAGCTCAAAACGCCTGGAGTGATGTGGGAATGGCCCCGCCGAGCTCGGGACGCTCCCGCTCCCTCCTCTCTTCCTTCCCTCCTCCCCTTCCCCCATGACGCGGCTGGGAGGCCTCAGGGCCTCCGCTCCCGTTAACCGGGCGGCGACGCCCGTCGCTTCTCTGCGGCCCGCGCTGCTCCGCCGTCCGGCGCGGCCGAGGGGCCCCGGCCCGCCCGCCGCCGGAGCGCCCGCGGGCAGGGAGGGCGGCCCGGCACCGACCCGGCCCGGCACTCACCCAGCTCAGCGCTCCGCCATCCCTGTTTGCGGAAGTGACGAACCCCAGGGCGGGCGTCACGTCCTGGGAGGGACCGCGGGCAAAGCGAGCGGGGAAAAGGCGGCGGTGTCTTGTGAGGACGGTCGGGGAGCTGGGGTTGTTCAGCCTAGAGACCCCAGGCTCGGGGGGCACCTCATCGCTCCCTACAACTGCCTGACAGGAGGTTGTAGTGAGCTGGAACCAGTTTCTTCCACCGTGCCTGCTCTGAAAGAGGGGAGATTTCGATACTAGAACAACTTTTTCGCTTTGAGGATGCTCAGGCGTTGGAATAGGTTACCCAGGGAGGTGGTGGAGTCACCCTCCCTGGAGGTGTTTGAGACGCCTGGTCCTGGCGCCGAGCGATTTGGGTTAGGGGGTCACAGTGGCGGTGCCGGGCTGACGATTGGACAGGGCGGTCTTAAAGGTCGCCGCCAACCTTGGTTCTGTGAGAGGTGGCGGAGCGCGAGCCGGGGCAGAGGGACTACGAGTCCCAGGGGGCCGTGCGAGCGGGGGCCGGCGCTCGCGCCTGCGCGGTGGGAGGGCGCCGCCGGGCCTGAAGGTGATGGTGCGGACGGGCGGCGCCGCACGTTGCGCGGGGCGGGCGGGGAGCGGCCGTTGGTGACGCCGGCGCGGGCCCGAGGCGCGCGGGGCCCCGAGGAGCGGCGCGGGCCCGGCACGAGGTACCCGCGCGGCGGGGGCGGGAGCGGCGGGAGCGGGACGGGTCTCCCGCCACGCCGGGTCCCGGCGGGATTGGGCTGCTGGCGCCTGCCTCCGCCTGCCTCCCCTTGGACGGGTCCGCCCGGTCCGGCCTTGAAGGATGTCGGCCGCGACATAAGAAACTGGGGTGGGAGATTTATTTCTTGGATGGGCCTGGCTGTTCCGTGGTGGGCTGCTGCTGCAGCATCTGTGTGGAAGGGAAGGGATTTGGAGATGGGAGCTCAGGCTGTGACTTCTTCACGAAGGGCAGCGCCGATCCCAGCTCCCCGGTGCCCCAGTGACAGGACCCGAGGGAACGGCACGAAGCTGTGTCAGAGGAAGTTTAGGCTGGATGTTGAGCGAAGGTTCTTCACCCGCAGGATGGTTGGGCACTGGAGCAGGCTCCCCAGGGGAAGTGGTCGCAGCACCAGCCTGGCAGAGCTCAAGCGTTTGGCCATAGTCTCAATCACAGCGTGTGATTCTTGGGATGCCCTGTGCACGGCCAGGAGTTGGACTCGACAATCCTGATGGATCCTTTCCAAGTCAGTGTATTCCATGGTTCTGTGTTACCACTGAAGGACCGCAGGTGGCTTATGCCCCTTAAGGGAGTTCTCTTCCTAGACCTGTCTTGTCTTTTCAGAAAGCTTGAAGTGGCTGTACAAGCGTTTTATTGTCTCATGTTACGTTTCTCACTAGTAATCTGCTCCTGTTAATTAAGTATATCCAGGGAGTCAGACAGGGAAGTAATCAGAATTTTAACAAAAATTTAGGCTGTTAAGTGAAACATGGATCTATGTCAGCTATTACAAACTACTTCAGCCTCCCTAATGTCTGTTTCCAAAAGCCCCTCTACCAACTGTCCTGAGAGAGAAAGCATTACTTTGGACAGCAGTACATGAAGTGTCCTAGAATTCCTTACCAAAGCCAGTTCTTAAACTGAGTGTTCTTCAGTTTACCCCAAGGTGTCATTGCTGTAACAAGTGTAAACATAAAACGGTTTGCCAAAGTGTTGCTGCTTTGGGAAGAGATAGGGTGCAGGTTCCTCGTTTGGAATGTGTTTTGCTGCCTGTGCTTATATGACGTGCAGCTGCTTCAGTGTGGGAATTGCACGCACAGAGGATAGTATGTCCCCACCGTCCATCTCCTGGGGGCCTGACAGCAGGTGTTTATCTCCTTTTCTGTTTAATGGCTGTTTGAAGTAAAAAGGGTATCACTGACCCTTGTAGCAACGTTACTAAATTGCACTCGCTGCCTAAGAGGCACTTCCATCAGGGAAATGAAAAAAAAAAATAATTTGATGATTTGGGTAGGTGGATATTAGGTGGCTTCCACATGGCAAAAACAGAGTAGATAAATTCAGACTGTTAAGGAGTATGTAAAGAATGTAAGAAGTTAAAGACTTGTCTGGTGTGACTGTCTGCAGATCTCCTTCACAGGCTATAGCAGCTGTAAGAAAAGTTTTGATCTGGTTTGGTTTTTAAAAGATTCTGTGTAGTTCTCCTGCTGTAGATGGTCTTTTCTGCAGGTAAACCAGCTCAGCTCATGTGTATGCTCATAGGTATCACTTAGAAACTGAAGTCTGTTTTCACAAGACGGGGAGCTCTTGATGTCCCCTAATGTCAGTTTGCATCTTGGCACATTTCTGGATCTGTAGGGAGATTTTTCTAGTCTTGAAGACAAGGGTATGAGAAATTCAACAACAAGAGCAGGAAGAACACTGATTTTCAGAAATGTAAAACTGCTAATAGAATCTCAGTAAATTACTTGTAATCAGTTTAGTCCTGCAGGATGGAAAGACAATCCAACATAGTTCTTTTTGGTGTTAAATAAGATAGTTGAAGATGAACTTATTTTCAAAATTAGATGCTTAAGTAAATTCATCATCATCAATATTTCAGTATTAGGAATGGAATAAAATCAGTGACTGAGACTTGGGCCCAAAACCTGATGGAAATCTTCCTGGACAACCAGGTGTCATCAGAATAGATCATAAAAATTTTACTTTGATATTCTGATAGGTAACTACCTAGTTCCATCACTTTAGATCAAGGATCAAACTCAAGGTCAGAGATTCTTAATGACTATTATGTGCCCCTAGTAGATTTTTTGACTTGAGATGAATGGGTTATGCAGTGTTACACTAACAACAACAAAAAAGAGCACTGTTCACGTTACAGAACTTTTTCTTAATTTTTGAGTCTTGAATCATGACACCTCTAAAAAACACATAATTCTTGGTGGCCCTGTGACTATTATAAAATTCCAATGAGAGTAAAAGCATTATTATTCAGTTGAAAAATCCTTATGATCTATTGTGATTCTACTTTCCTAAATTTAATTGACTCTTGAAGGTACCAATACAGGTGTGTTTAGTCCAACACACCTTTTCCATGTTAAATTTTGTCTAGAAAATTGTGACTTAAGCAGGTGCTGACAAGCCAGTGGTGTGTCTACTTAGGACTTTTTGTCTGGTAAGGACTGAAGCCACATCTGCTTATTGGCATTATACAGTAGAATTTATTATGTTTGGAACTTTGTGCTTTCTCTAAAAATCTTCAATCCTTTGTAGCCCAGTGCCTTCCATCACTCAGTTTTTTTCAAATGAGCCACATTTTTTGCTATGTTTCCAAGCATGACCCTGCCCCTTCTAAACAAATTCATCTGAATGGTAAAGCTCTGTTTGTGCACATTAGGAAATGAAAGGGACACTTAGATGGGCTATAAATTTTAATTCCCTGCATCTACTTTTTTATCTTGTCCCAAGAATTGGCCTTGACCCTCTGTAACAGTTCTCGTGTAAACCAAACAAGTTGTGTGGCTGTGACTGTGGCTTTGTAGAACATTGCAGCGGATGATCCCCTGCAGCTCTTTAGGACTTGCCGAGTTTTTTGTCCTTGTGGAGGGAGATGGGGGAAGGGAATTGGGTTTAATACAGTCAGGTGCTCATAAACAAATTATAAAATAAATCAGTAGCTTTTTTTCCAATGGATGGGTTTTGTTGGTGGGAAATAGAAATGCATGAGTGGCTTCAGAAGAATTCAGTGAGTCTCTTCCAAAAGTGGCTTGTGAAAGATTTTAGTAAAATGTGACAGCACTTACCTTTAACTGCAGTGGAAGTGCTTAGCCCCCAGCGTGTACCAGGCAGTTAAGTATTCACTCTTAATATTTTGTGGATTTAAAAACTGGCTTTGCTGATGCTAAAATTAGATGGCATGCTTTGCTTCCTGCTGTCTCAGGCCATAGGATAGTACTTTCTGATGAGGGATGTTTCTGTGCTGAACCACAAGCCTTGGGCCATGTTGATGACATCTGGCAGAAAGCAGTGTGCTTGCAAAGGTTGCAGTGTTGCAGTCACAGGATTCCTTTCTGAATTTGAATACAACAGTGTTGTAATGCTGCTGCTTCAGACTGTGAATAGGAACGTTATTAGGGTTCTAATACTGAGGTCTCATCAGAGCTGCTGGTGCAAAGACACAGCTCTCTGAATCTGATGCACTTTCAGACACTTGTAGATGGTGTGATTTTGTTGTTTGCATGTCTTCTGTGTAAGAAATGCTGTGTAAGGCCATAAACTGAATAATGGGTAAGAAGGTTTAGCCACTCAGGTATCGAGATCTTAATAAAAATAATACTTCTGCTGTAAGAACTGTTCACATTCATTTGTAGAGATGTTGGGAATAGCGTTTACTGAAAATTAGATGAAGACTGTGGTTTTGAGTGTGTGTGTGTTCTGTAAATGTTATGATCAGCCTCTTCACACATAATTTTTCAAGATATTCTGATTGATACTGCACATATTTCCCCATATGGAGAAATCTGAATTCACAACAGAGAATTCAGCACTTACTTTGAATATTTAGAAAAGATTTATACTGGAAATGAATGTCTGCCAACAGTAATTCTGCTGAAAGATGAACGTTCTGTATTTTTTGCTGGGAAAAATGACAGCTTTTCAGTGTTTGAAAGTGTGAAATAAATGTGGTGAGAGAATAAAAGAAAAAATCTTGAACCCAATGCTTCCACTGTGAATTCTGTTTTTACGGAAGCTGGGATGGTTTTTTCCAGTTTCACACTAGTTTACTTTTATTCCTACTTTGTTTCTAATTGTAAGGCTTCAGAGTTCTTCCTTGAGAATGTTTTTTGGACGTCTGTAGAAGCATTTGGGGTGAATTTAATGAGTAAAAGACTCATTAAAGACTCATAAAGACTTGAGGTTGTTTTAAGTATTTTATAAAATTATTGCATAATGTAATTTGCACTTAATGTATTATTACAGATAGTACTGTTGCTTGCTGTTGGGTTATGGAGAGAAGAAACACAACAATGAGGCAAGACATGTAAAGATCCAAGGTGGTAAAAATGGCATTTATCAAGGCTAGAAAGGAAACAGGTTTGGTAAGCACTGTGGAAGGTGAGGCAGAAGGCTGTACAAAGTTGATTTTAAGATCAAAGTTTAAGCATATTCCTAATAAATGCCTTTTGTAATTAGTCAAGATAAAGTATTTGAATATCTAAGGTTGTATTTTGTGGTTTGGTATGGTTGCTTGACTCTGGCTGGATGTCAGGTGCCCACCAAAGCTGCTCTACCCCTTCCCTCCTCAGTAGGGCAGGGAAAAGAAAATACAATGAAAGGCTCTTGGGTTGAGGTAAGGGCAGGGAGAGATCAGTCACTTCTTGCTGTCATAGGCAAAAGAGAGTCAATGTGGGGAAATTAATTGAATTTATTACCAATCAAATCAGAGTATGGAAATGAGAGGTAAAACAAACCTTAAAAATTTCTTCCTGGCACTCCTCCTTCCTTACTGGGCTTAACTGTACTCCCAGTTCTCTCTCCACTCTTCCTCTCAGTGTCACAGGAGGACAGGGAATGGGGGTTGCAGTCAGTTCATGACACGTTTTCTCTGCCACTGCTTGCTCTACAGGGGGAGGACTCCTTCCCCTGCTGCAGCGGGGGTCCCTCCAATGGCAGACAGTCTTCCTCAAC